TTGTTATTTAAGTACCTACTAATTAAACAATCTTATTTATTACTATTTTTACGTTTTAATGTATTTAAACATAAAATACATAATAATTTTAAATACCAAATATAATAGCACAAAATAGCATTACTTAAAAAATTATTACTTATGTAAATACACTAGCAAATTAGTGGATAATAATCGTCTTAATCTGTAAACACCTATGTAATAAAAAAACAGTCACAATACATTTATAAATGAATAAATTTGAGCACCAAACACAAAGCTGGCGTTTTATATATTATAGACAAGAAATCGCACTTTTGGTAAGAAAATGATAAAACAAGTAGATCCATTCAGGAAGTGACGAAGCGTAACACATGATCACGCAGAACATGTGAACATAAGAAAATGTACTTTTCCTGTTTTTTCCAGCAAAGTAAAGATGCTAAATAATTGTGATTAATGCATGCGTTAATAGTTTCCTAAAAGCATTCTGCGGGGTGTGATTATATTTTGTGTATGTTCAACACGCGTGCAAAATTCAGGAAACGTAAGACAAACACACAAGGTAAAAATTTTTTTCTTGTTTAGAATGAATTTTCAGTTGTCATATACTTATATATCTGGTACAGTGAAGAGATGTTGTTTCTAACTTGCTTAGATTTTCTAAAATACTTTACAAAAAATTGCGCGTATAAACGCCCTTATTTCTTACTGGAACAAGCACACGTTTTAGTAGATGCGCTGATAACAGCAATATTACTAACAGTAAGTACTTCGGCTAATCCAATAAGAGTTCATGTATTTTGTCAGGCCACGTGATTGCTACCCAAAGTCTTACCTTGGGTTTGTCATGCTTTGTTTATAACTCCTACAGGTGCAAGAACCTGATGCTCCTCGCGCCAATATCCTTGGCTGGATATATGACCTCGGATGGAGCGGGATCGAGCGGGATTATCGCTCTTTACCCATTTTATCGTTGTTGTTGCTCCTTTTTTATCTGTGCAGATTTATATATGCCTTGAACTGGTACAGGGTTGGCATTTATTTTTTGGTCCCTTTTTGCATTATAATAATTACTTATATGAGTTTACTTCTTTTTATCATAAGAAATATGCATTTCAATTTTATTTAATATGAGAGCCATACACTATACTTTGAATCCAATTTATGTATTAATTTATTTATACGCCAGGTGTATTTTGGCAGCAACCTAATAATTCCTATCCGCCATTATAATCTGCCAAATATTAATACATGAAATTGCTACAACACTTTTGAAAATCTAGTAGAGTATATTCAGTTTTCTTCAAACTCGTCGCATTCCGCTTTGATATTTATAAAATGTAAACATAACACCGTATTTTTGCTTTTGTAGAATTTGGAATCATTTATTTTGCTGATGTGTAATGGCAGGCAAACTTTTAGTCATAGTAGATACTTTGGAAATTATCTAATTCGTAAACTATAAATAACTAAGTTATTTAATAATTCTTGGCATCATATATTTTTTCCGTTAAGTAGGTGATATTTATAACACGCATTTAAGAAATAAACTACTAGTATTGTCCTATTTTTAAGAAAATCAGGATCTAATATGTTTTAATTGTTTTTATTTTTTTTTTCAGATAACTTAAAATGGCTGTTATAATAGATTCAATAAGGAACATAAATAATTATTTAAATAAATATCAAGGTAAGTAGTCCGAATAAGTTTTATTATTAAAAATTTAATGCAGTTTTAAAATATACATATTTCACTATCTTTTTAAATTTAAATTAGTCATTTACTACTTTTATTTTTTTGTAATAAATACTTCACTCAAATAATGGCAGAATGAACGATATAAAATACTATTCAAATGATTATCCTAGATTGTAGTTTCTAAGATAAAGGAAAACCATATATTTTGTCTAACAGTTGTAGTTTTGGAGGTGTTTTACAGATTAGTTTTTAATAAATAAAATTAAGTTTCAATCTATAGTGACTAAATCTTTTAGTTACTGGTGAAATAAAATACCTAATTATAATTTAAAGGAAACAACATTAAACAATTAACCATTTATTAGTATTTATATTAAAATGAAAACTTGCATTGTGAAATTGGATTTCATTACCAAAACTAACATAAAGGAGGAGGATTATCTTTATGGGACATCATTCAACATCATGCAGACGTGGTATTTTCGATACAGCTCTATTGGGTTAATGTGTTCATTATTATTTTTTATAATGAAAGTACATTCTTCTGCTTTCGTCCGAAATAATATTTTCAGTTACTTTTCCATTAAAATTTGCTATTTCTCGCACGCATTGATAGATAGCAATAGATAACATTACTGTTGGCCTGTCTTTACAATAACTTTAAATTTTTACAATCTTTCAAAAAACACACAAGAAGAAATACGAAAGTAAAAAAAATACACCATACCTGAACAAATTACGTTTAATAAGAAAAAAAGCCGTGATTAGCTACGTTACGGTGGTTACTGAAAGGGAACTCAAACTGCATAGTAACTTTGCGCTACTTCCCCTCCGTCTTTCACTGATGCACGACGATAACCATAACCACCGCTGTAAACACTTTACGGATGTAGGAGCGAGCTACGCGGAACCCACGTATTCAGAGCTTTTCAAACCAATTTTGCAAGTCGCGTTAAATTGACTGCACATTACAAATTTAACATTTTCTTTTTAATGCTAATCTAGTTAATTATCTAGATAATATTATAAACTAAATTTTAAATTCAATTTTTTTTTACTATGAAAATGTCTAGCAGAGCCCACCCGCACCAGCGGCCACTGTTTATATTTATATATATTTTATTTTAATTATATTATTTTAACAGTGATAATATTAATGTTTTGCTCTTTATACATTTGTAATATGAATATTAAGTATTAAAAGAAAAATGAAGAAAATTCAGCCGATTTTATAAAAGTTGTTCAAAAATATGTTTCTTTTTAAACTATGGATACTAATATTTAAAAATCACTAGAATGAATTTAAAATTCCAAATCCAGTATACTATTTTTACGTATTTCGAAACGGAAAATTTCACATTGATCAATTTTTACAAATCTGGTATTCTCAAGATTGTTGATTTATAAACAAAAATTACTGTTAACTTCAAGTATGTTAATATGTATTTACTAGTCTACTAAGAACTATAATTTGTATATATATGTATTTTTTAACTCATGGTCAGTGGTTAGGTATGACTACAAGGATATCGTCTGATTCATATTATGAAACTAGCATAAATATTAGAGTTGCCATAAAACTGAGAGTTGACAATAAAATCAGCTGTATATAGGTACTAAATTTTGTCAGAAAATATAAATAAGAGATGATAAAATGTTAAGTTGTTTCAACTGACTAAATGTACAAGTATTTAAGTACAGTGTCCTAAATTGTCTTTCGATATATGTTTAAAAAAGGGTAAGCTTTTTGAACAATAAAATTTAATCTTTAAAGAGGTATGGTAGATATCATATTTTAGACTTTCGAGATAAGTTGTGTGTACTTTAAATGTGGTTGGAATATAACCTACAAGATGTCTTAAATGTTATTATTATTTAATATCTACTGGCCCAAAGCAAAAATAAACATCTCTGAAAACATATCCGCAAATAGACATTCAAATAACTATAGATATCCAGTAATAACATTAACGGAATTGGGACAATGAATTTATAGCTGCACTTTTATCTTAAAATCGCCGACGTTTCGACATCTTTATTGCGTCTTTATCAAGGCTGTTTAAAATTTGTGGGAATTAATACTATATACTATTTGTCTTTATTGAATGGATAACATACATTTTGTGGTGCCTCATGTTTGTTATTTTTGGAGATATTCTTAATTGACTGAAAAAATTGAAAAAATTTAAATAGCATTGAGAAGACAGTAAATGTGTCGAAACGTCGACAATTTTAAGATAAGAGTGAAGTTGTACACTCATTGCCCCAAGCCCGTTAATCTCTTTACTAAATTATTGTCAGAGGTGTAATATTTTATAAAGATGCTATAGATATCATTTGTCGGTTTTCTCACCTATGGCATACTGATGAGAACTAATAATTTTGAAACCTGGTGGTTCTACTAATGAGTGATCCCAATAATTTACTAGATATTGCAGGTGTAATTCGATGCTAGTTAGGGCTGTAGTCCGCAGAGTAGTTATTTACTAATTACACTAATTTCTTCATTAATTTTCAGATTCCACATATTATGTGTAGTGTAATAGGTAGATTTAGGGGACAAATATGATTATTTCATCCCAAACTTTTTTATTTTTACTCCAAAAAGTTTATATAAAATGGTGTCCTTATGTATAAACAATGATAGATCTTCCTTTTTATAAAAATAAACAGTAAATTGTCATCTCATGAAACTCCTGTTAAAATAATTTTTACTTAACGATAGGTCTGTTCCAACAAGAGTCAGGGATTGGTTCCTAACCGTTCGAAATGTTTGGCCTGTGTCTTCAGTGAATATATCGCAAGAATTAGTTGGATGCACATTTCCAACGGTTCGGAACCAATTCCTGACTCCCGTTGGAACAGACCTGATGATATTTATACCAAGTATCATTTTGTATACCTTTGTTCATTAGGCTTTGTCATTGGTAACTTTACGTTTATTATTAATTTAAGTTGTCCAAGTTATTGCATTGTACACAAATGCGTACATATTGTACCTATTTTTCACAGTTTATTGACTACCAAATTATTTGGAGGCATTTAGATGTCTTTCCGGTTCCGGTATTTGTATATATTTAAATTCAATTCATCGCCATGTATGACGACCGTCATAAAAAAGGGTTGTCTCAGTCATGACATGTAATGAGGCGTAAGGTACTGTACTATCATTATGCAAAGACTAGAAGGTATGGTATTCTCGTCAACTAAAATTAATAAAGTTTATCCTAACTATTTATGAATACGTAAAACTGATGTCAATATCACAAAAAGTATATATTCTTCAGCATTATCAACATTATTAGGTAATTCTTATGCAGGTTCCTCAGAATTTTTGGTGGATTCTGACATATTATTTGAAAAAGATTTGTAGGTAGGTACGACTGTTTCATTAATCATTGGGTGGTCTATTTTTTCAATTTAGTAGCTTCTGGAACTATTATATTACGAATATAGTCTAATGTTTTAAAACGTCTTGAACAAATCCAAGCATTTGGGTGCAAAATTTATATGCAAGCTTCAATCCAGATTTTTTAGATGTTTCCGTTATTTAGAAAATGAGAATATGATGTCATTAAACAATTTGCTTGATTACCTTTTGTACAAGCAAATATTGATGAATGCATTTTAAGAAATCATTATTAATAAATAATAACGTCAGTAATCACAACATATTCAAAACATAGATATATTATATGGATCAATCACAAAGGCACAAAACTGAAATTTAACTTCTGTACACATACACAACACGAAAACTAAACGATAAATATGTTATTATTATTATTAAAGTTGTTGCCTATCAATTCCACACGGACAGTATCCACAAATCGCGATTTAATCTCCACGTGACGTCATAACATGGCCGCAGGAGTGCGCAATATCACATCTCTTGAACGTCTATGATTATCTTATTACATTACTACACACTCTTTTCTAAGTAACTAGCCTATGCCCTTCTATTACTAAATAAAAGGTGAGGGACATGGATATAAGATTTTATTTGAACTTCCTATTAATAGATGGCGCAATTAAGTTGTGGTCTAGGACGTCACAACTGCCCGCCAAATTCATTTTAGTCTTATATTTTTTTAATACTCTTTTTTAAATTGCTACTCTAATAACGATTTCATATAAAATTAATAATACGGATCAAGTTTTTTGCCACGATTCCATTTGAATCATAGGAATATGTTTTTGATCATGACATTATTCTAAGAAATAATATAAAGGGTGTCTCAAAATTCACGCAAGAAGTAATTTTGTTAAAAACACAGGTTTTTAATTAAAAATTGTAATTTCTTTATTGATTCACAAATGTTACAGTATAGGGTTATGTATGGAATAGCACATCGAAGAAATAGCCTCCACGGCTTTGCCGGCACATACGCATTCTTTTGTCGAAATCGCATAAATGCGGTTGAATTTCATTGATACAGCGCTGATTTTACTTCTTCAAGGCTTGGGTGGTCGTGGACTTAGCATAAACCTTCAAAACTTCAGAAAACCCCAAAGAAAAACGTCAAACGCCGTTAAATCGCATGATCTGGGAGGACGATAATTCTGATCACTAAAACGGTAAATTACACGACCAGGAGATTACTCATGCAGTAATTGTGTTGTTTCTTGTGCTGTATGGCATGTGGCACCCTCTTGTTGCAATTGAGGCAGCAGCATTAACTGTTATTGCCTGACCTGCCGCATTTTAAAGAAGAATGGTCTGATGATGCCTTCAGCCCAAAATCCTCACGAAACAGTTGTGGATGCATTTGTTTCTCAACAATCACTCGTGGATTTTCGGAACCCCAAATGCGAAAATTTTGTCGATTAATCAAAATGAAAATGAGCCTCATTGCTGAAAATCCACTTACTGTTGTTCCATAATCCATTCAACGAGCTCTATTCATTCTGCGTAGTCGGTAGGCTTCAGTTCTTTCTCTTTCTCTTCGGAACTTTGTAAGCGTGAAGATGCAAATCTTTCGTGAGAATACGTTGTAGAGAGCATTTTGTAACGTCCAATTCTTGACCACGATGAAGAGTTGATGTTCCTGGGCTTTCAGCAACACTCTTAAGAACTGCTTCGATTTGTTGAAGGACGGCCAAAGTGTTTAAATTCACTAATTGATCTTATCTCGCTGAATTTTTCCATTAATCTCTTCAGAGTTGATGAAGTTAAATTACTATTCCGACCATTATTGTTAAAAGATGGCTCAACAATGAAAACGCGTCGTTCTTTCGTGTAGCGCTCTATTTTTAGTAACCCTGAAATGTCAGATATCACGCTGTCTTTTTTTTTCGTCGGTAGTAACTGCACAAGTAGCGTAGAATTCAAATCTTACGCGAATTTTGGGTCACCCGATATTTAGTTCTTTTGGATTATATATCCCAGGAAAATATTGAATTTTAAAACAAAGTTTTCTCATATCTTTGACTCCATAATTATTGAAATGTTGATGCAATATATAAAAAAGTAGTTGGTTATTTCTAGTGGATAGCTATTTTTTATAAAAAGGGTTCAAAGCAATCAATACTCAAATTGAGAATAAAAAACACATAGTTTTTCCGAAACATTAACTGTATGTATTGTAGTGTTTATTGTGTGGACGATTATTATCCACTTTTTTCAATGTAGGATGTTTCTGATTAGGCAAAATTAAATTTGTAAAATCAACCCCTTAACTGATCCATTTGGCACAATGTGTTATTTAAAAATGTTTCTTTTTAATGTGGTGGAAATACCCAATTAAATAAAAACGATAAAAGTTGTAAAAATGTTACAAATAAACAATTACAGACAATATTTCGTCTAGCTATTATTAAAACAAAATTTTTAAATGATGCGATGGAATCACTTGAAACATGTCATTTTATAACTATTTAAAATTAATTTATAGTTTTAAATATACTTTTAAATGGTTATAAGTTTATTCATATACTTAACATATTTTAAATCGTAACATGTATCATTAGCGTATTGCAATTATTATTAATAATTAAAAACAAGGCTGCCAGTAACTCTATTTTCTTTATATTAGGTTAAAGTTCCACATTATAACGGAAGTGAAAGCATACATATTTCATTCTTAAAAAGCACTTTATTTGCTTCTGCATTATACCCGGTTATATTTAACTTTGCTTATTGATTTTCAGATCCCAGAACGGCAAATTTTCCTTTGATGACTAGTCCGTTCTACACATTAGGGATATGTCTCACTTATGTTTACGTTGTTAAGGTAAGAGTTCGTAGTTCTAATTCAATACAAGTTACATCAATGGAAATAACACACTAGTTGAAATCATTTGTGGACTGATTAAAACACTGTAAATAAATCGGTCTGAGTAAAAGCTGAGTGAATACATCGAGTGAAATTATTGAGAACATTTTCAGTCAATATTGGGTATTTTGAAAATTTTACACAGTTTTGATAATATTTGAACTAAAACTGATGGTTTCACTAATAAAATTTTAGTTGTACTTACTAATAGAGGCAAATTTCACTAAATCGGGTGTGGACAGGAATTGATACATTATTGAGTGAAATTGAGTGAAAATAAGTCCTATTTTTCTTACAGTGTATATCTTATTTCTTATTTAGTTTTTAGTATGGCATAGTACTGAGGGAAAATTGGTTTTCCAACGTTTCAAATTTGCTTCTACTTTCAGACCTCCGTCCCAGGGCGTATAAAGTCTGCTTTATGATAAAATGTACAGGTTGTAAAGGCAGAGTCGCACAACTTAAGGGAATTCGGAATGACAACTTAAAAATCAAAATTTGTGAATATACAGAGTGGGTCCATGATGAAATAAGCATCATTTTGGCTAAATATTTTGAACCAATCTGAGATTTAAGTCAGAGCTGTTAGATGTATGTTTTCAAGTGGAGCTTATTTACAATTAATGATTAGGATTACCTTACGGGTGTAGTACGTAAACATGTAGTCAGACTGTCAAGAGGCAACAATGGGCAGATGAGATGTGATCAGGGTTCCTGGCAATCACTCGTGATATGTAACAAACAAGTACTGCTGTATGTTCTTAATACGTAACTAATTATGGTTTACACTCACCGGGGGCGCCCCGCCCCTCGCTGTCCTATCTGGTGGTTACTCGAATAAGCATCCCCGATGTAGGTTGTGCATGCATCTGGAACACCTGTAATCAAAACTACACACACAACATACGCTCACTTCTTTCATCCTCGTATCTCTCGGCTCAGCCCCTGGATACGGCGCCCCTTGGCTAATGCCCTCGGCCTCACCATTCATTCTCGTATCACTCGGCTCAGCCCCTGGATACGGCGCCCCTCGGCTAATGCCCCTCGGCCTTACCATTCATTCATTAGTGACAATAATAATAATGACACCTTTCACTATTAGTGAGAATAACAACACATGATTTATAGAGACAGATCTGCCCTAATTACGTGCTTTAATTAGTAAGATTTTAATAAGTAATCGCTGAGATCGTATTCACGTATTACCCACTACACTGCTGAAATAAGACTCTCGTCTCCAACGCAGGAACCCAGAATCACACCGTCAGCTGAATCTACATAAAATAATAACGCTATGAATACAATCAATCATTTATTGAGAACTAAGCCTAGTTGTTCACTTATTTGTTTATTTAATTCTTTTCTTTTAAAACAGCTCCTAACAGAGCTAACAACGTTTTATATACAGGGTGATTCACAACTTATCCAAAAAAATTTGGGAATAGATGCGGCATGAGAAATGGAGTCAATATTGTTAAAAAAAATTTTGTAAAATCCTTATAGTTTCTGAGAAAAAAATTATTGAAGTTATAGCACATTAAACCACTACATAGCTGGACAACTGTAGTCTCTAGCGTCATTCGCAATACGCGTGGAGAGCCATGTGACTCCTAATACTGAAATCCGTCGTTGCGGTAGTTTTTACCTGTTATCTGTGGTATTTACATCAGTTTTTTAGTAGTTAGTGTCAAAAATGGCTTGCGTGTATAGCAACTCAGAGTTGATGGATATCGTTTTAATTTATGGTGAAGCAAGACAACATTTGTATTATGGTGAAGTATTTGTGTTATGGTGAAGCAAGACATCATTTGTGTTAGTTCGTAGAAAGTGAGTAAGACGGACCCAAATGTGTTTACACGTGAGTGGATAAAATTTTGAACAATTGCTGTTGCAGCATCGGGTATGTCAAATGATTTTATTATTTAAAAACACAAATTAATTTTATTAATAATTAATAAAGGCAAAAGCATTTGAATTTGCCGATATAAAATAGGTGCGATAAAATTCTATTTACATATTTCTTTCCTTGCGAAAGTTTTTGTCCGTTTTTATCACGCCGCCATACCGGTCGCATTGTGCGAGGTCAGGTTTTACAGTGGACCAGTTTCCAGTGCCGTGCAGAAGTGTATTTTTAAATCAATTTCGAACTGACCTTTTTGATTTTTTCTTTACAAAATTGTATTTGTAAGGGTCCCCTGTACATCCAGAATTTTTTTTTGGATAAGTTCTGAATCACCCTGTATAATTTTTTCTCTGAAAAAGTAAATTTGTTTTGTGGAAACATTATAATTTCAGTTTATAAATCGGAATATAAAAATTATCTCTTCATTAATGAATAATCAGTACTTGAAGTAATAATTCTTTACCCCTTTTTCTTAAAGGGAAGAAAATAATTAATATTTTACTTTATAACTTTCAATAATTATTGCGCAGGTACAAAATTATAATACATAGTCGTTATTAATGCACTACTAAATTACGAAAATATTAGTCCTAGCTGTTCATATTGCAAAAATAATATTGAAAACTTGATTATGGTATTGTGGCAAAAATAAATCAAACTTGCAATATGTTGTATGAAATTAAAAAAATATATATTGGCTGAACCTTTGGCTACAGGGTGATTTCATTTTAAATACAGAAACTGCAGGAATAAATTAGCTGCTAAACAGTAACTAGAGCTTGCTCTATAAACTAATGTTATTTTATTATATAGTTTGAAATTTTTTCCAGAAATAAAATAATTTCTACAAAAAACCGCAGGTGGCGTATTCTTTTCTTGAAAAAAAAATGGCGGACGCTTTAGTAGCACGTCACTGGTTAAAACTAGGAGGTTTTCTTTAAATAAACGGATTGATTTATTAGGAAAATTTAATAAAACGTAAAAATAACCAGTGGCGTGCTGCACCTCCAGCAGCACGCCACTGGTTAAAACCACACGGTTAATAATACATTCAATAAAAGGTCTAATTAAATGAATACGCTGTAGTACATTTCATTCAATTCCGTCAGCGCATTATGAAGATATCGCATTGTAAATTTTAACACCCTGTATCTCGAATACCGCGTCCCCCAGGAAGAAAAGCTTATAGAGCAAACTCTACCTATTTTTTGATGATGAATCTAGTTCTGCAGTTTCAGTTTTTAAAGTGAAATCGCCCTGTATAAACTGTGCCAAGAAGCATTTTGTATAGTAATTAAAACGCTTTTAGATAAAAAGCGAAGTGTTCTTTATATTCTCCGTATATTTATAGTTATTATAATAATTTGCTTATCCTTTGTCAGCGACTAACCGAATGTTAAGAGTGATACTCAATTTTAATGGTTGTGCCATTTCAAATATGGCTAAGAATAGATACCTAGAGAAAAGAATATTAAATATATTAATTTAATCATCATTATAACCTAACCTTGAGTAAAAAATTTTGGATGGAAAAATTCCAGTAGGTACTCATAATGGAAGACATTGTATTCTTCATGATTACAAAAAACCCGTGATCAATGGTCAAGGCAAACAAATTTTCCTTTATCTTACGGAACAAGATAATTTATAAAATTATGTACTTGTGACGTCTTGTCGGAATGGAATTACAATTTATTTCATTTCTGTTTAACCGTCAGGAGCAGATATCTATGAATTGGAAAAACTAGGGCATATTATATGATTTGCAGCAGTCATATATCGTAACATAATTTAAAAGCGAATAAGGGAAAAGTTTGAAGATGTATTAGAGATGTTGCAATGGTATACCATATGGGTTGAAGAGAACAGTAAAACAAGTCTTGTTTTATAGTTATTAGAATGTTAAAGAGATACTTGTAGTTCAAGATTTAAATACTGCAAAGAATGTCAGAGACAATCTATTTTGAAAATCTTAATTTAACTTTCTGAAAAAGCTGCAGACACAAATAATTGTCACAAAAAAATGTATTTAATGGTAAATGGCCAGTACAATTAATTATCAGGAATTAGTGATTATTATATATTAGACTGATATTTCCTTCTCCGTTGAATTTCGCATACAACCCGTGCGGAAATCAATAATTGACTTGGGATGAAGAAGATGAAGGCTTTGCGACGTTGGATGGACCTGGGAAATTGTTGATGATTGGGGTGTACTTGCCTTTTCTGGTCTACTCCTTTCGTGTCTCCTTGCAGGGAGATAACCCCGTTGAATTTCTTGTAGGCTGGTGTGGATTCAAGAATCAAATTAGGTCTCGGCTATCGGAAGTTATGCAAACTTGCGTGTATAGTATGGTCGGTGAGGATTTTTGTTATTGGTTGAAGATAGGAAGTTTCTTTTATAAAGAAATATGTTGTATAAAATATCACTAAAATAACCAACAATTTCGTGGTATGTAAACGGATCTTTGTTGCTTGAAGAAAATCGACACTTGCTAAAGATCGGTGTTTCAATCAGATTTGCGGAAACAACTGATGAATACTAATGGTGTCACTAAATATTGGGGTCATGACAAATCTTTTTATTCCATTACCTAAAATCATGCTCAAGGAGGGTGGGTTTATATGATACAATATTTTCCACGTGTGAAACTAGTTGCAGACGATAATTGAATCTATAATGTCTGAACTCTTGATTTTTCGATCCAAGGAAGTGATTTATACAGGATGTTAAAAAGTATATGACAAGCTTGGAGGAGAATAGTACATGGTCGAAAATATTCAGAAAAGTCCTCAAATGGATGAATCCGGAGGTACGAAACATTTTGCGTTTACACAACTTTATGAAGGGCCAACAAACAAATAAAGAATGTAATTTACGAACAAAAGTCCATGGGATGTGCAAAGGGCCTTCTATTTCACAGTAGCTATATCTACGGCACAAAAAAATCGAACATTTTCGAAAGGGCATCCTTGATCTACTGGTTGCTGCAGCTCATTCATAAGCGTAGCTTATAGTAGTTTTCAAATATCCACAAGAACGAAGTGAGTTTAAAATAGGGTTATCTTGCAAGTCCGCCCTCTTCCAAAATTTCCCTGTAAATGTCCTCTAACGGCAATCGAAAAATGCGCTGGAGTATTAGAACCATATTTTGCTGTATTTGCTTAGAAACGTCGTTTAAAAGATTACTCAGTATGTTCTGCAGAGCCTGTTTAATAAGAGAACTGGGCCTAGTAACCTGTCACGCAAAATACCTATCGAAATCATCAATGAAAAACATATCTGATCTTGGAATCCATAGTAGCATGAGGATTGCAGCACATGAGTATTGTGAAAATTAAAAACTCCGAATAGTGTGAACCCGGCCTTATCATCCTCAACATCACCGTTAAACCCAGTGGCAAAATACCAAGCGAGCTTGATCAGGTGGTGAAACTGCTATTCCCCCAAACAAGAGGAGCATTAACTTCAACCTCTGCTGATATTTTCTGCAAATTCGTCTTCGGAATTTGGTCTACCCGTGCTAACATCGTGGGTCTGTTTTTGATACAGTCTTACAAATATACGAACTAAAGGGATCCTGCGATTGGGATAATCGTCAACATAAAGACGTAGCGTTGGCGTTGCCATTAGCATCACCATACATGAAACGTATTAGAGATAGTCTAAACAGGCATCAACGATATAATTTGGTAAGCTTTATCCACTATTCAGTACAGTATTGAGTGGAAATATTACTTATACGTGCTCTGAAGTATTTGTGGATCCATAACATTTGGTTTAATTTCTGTACGAGTCTTGGTTGTGGCAAATTTATTGATTTGTTAGAGAAAACTCATCTGGAACAACACAACACATGGATGGTCGTATATTAGTGAATTGTTGGTCCAATTTTACTTTCAATTCCAAGATTTTCAGTTAAGTGTATCTATAGAAATAAAAGTTATTGAGTGTATTTAAGGAACTGAAAGAGCCATTGTTTATTAAATGCATGCACAAAATGACTATGTAATTGAGATTGGTTTGCTCAAATAGTTTTATTTCATGAATATTTTAGTTACAAAACAAAACATAAAGTTATAATTGTTACCAAAAATCTTTGATAGTAACAGTCATGATAATAGAGAATAATGGACGACTTCTCTAATTCACCCCCATCTCATAAACATATCTTTATACCGTATAAAAATATTGTTAGAAGAAAAGTACTCACTCAATCAGTTTTAATCTAGGTACTAAATTATTTACTGTAGACATCTTATTACTATTGGTAATTTCCATAAGGTACATATTTTAGAATAATCTACACGTGTATTGGCCGATCCCAGTACAAAGATCTCCATCGTTTATGTGTTATTTAGTTACAAAGTTTGAAGGCCATTTCAGATCGTCAGGGTAATAAATTTTTGTTTCTTCAATGTCATTTTATATTTATGAGAGATATACTATATTTTAATTGTGCATCTGCTATTTTGCACTTTTGCAAAACCAAAGAGGTTTCTTATAATCAAGCTAGGAATGGTGTTTCTGTCTGGTTTTCTTCATTTATCGATTGATTGATTACTTACTTACATAATCAGAGAGATGGTGTCTCATTTAAAAATTACACAGCCACACAAAAAATCGACTTTCGGACCCAGAGGCCAGATCATGTTTATTATATTATACGTTTTTTGGGTCGTTGAATTCAAATCTGAGGTTCATTTAACCCCATCACCTCAGGATTTTTCATAACCTCAAAAAACCGATATTCTGAACAATTAAGCCATATAACCTTAAGACTCAAGCTTCCAATTAACCAAATCCCATAAACATTTAACCAATGATACCCCAACCTAATAAGCCCATTTAATCTGGTCAAGAGAGATTCTTAAAATTAATTATTCATTTATTTATTTTAGATTTATTGATTAATTTATAGCACGGGCTATCCTACAAATAATTTTTTTTTTCAAAAGCTCTTATGAGAACTATATGATGTACGAAATACGATCGCGCAACCACCTCGTGTTGTACATCGGGTAATGCTAATGCCGATGGTCCTACCAATTAAAGTTAAAAAAAACTAGATCGACTGTAACACTTGGTTCTTTGGTGCATGGGATCTAAGTACAAGGTAATGAAATTGTGGTTAGGGAATCGTGGGGTTATGAATTGTAGGGTCATGGAGGTTTTGGGGTTTGAGTGAATATGTTTTTAAGAAATCCTAAACCACGTTAACGTTTAGCCATAATGCAGATTGCCTATGATTTATTAGTTATGGGGTTATGGGGTTATGAAATTACGTGGCTATGGGGTTACGGGGTTACAGGAATTTTTTGGGTTTGAGTACTTGGGTTTTCAAGGAGTCCTCAGCTATGTGATGTTTTGCAAAATACAGATTGCATATGATTTATTTTCTTGATTATGGGGTTATAGGGTTATTGGGGTTTGGGTTCATGAGTTTATTAGGTTTGAATATCATTGGTTTAAATTTGTATGGGATTTGGTTAATTGGATTTTGCGTTGAAAGCTTGAGTCTTAAGGTTATATGGTTTAATTGTTCAGAATATCATTTTTTTTGAGGTTATGAAAAATCCCGAAGTGATGGGGTTAAATGGATCGGATTCGGAGTCAGCGACCCAAAAAACGTATAATAAACATGGTCTGACCTCTGGGCCCAAAAGTCGATTTTTATATGGCTATGTTAGACAAGGCGTCATGAGATTATATTGTTATTTACTAAAAATAAATGAAAAAGTTTAGTTGCAGTTCATTCTAGGTAGTTGTTTTTTCCAGATATTTCTTATACTTTTTACAAATCTAATGGTTAAAAAATAATTTCTAAATTTAAATCGGAGACATTTCTCTCAAACTGGAAAATACGTACTTTTAGGGACTGAGTTTGGAATTGTAGTCCCTTAGGATGCATTTATCTGCTTGTGTTTATATAAACTTTTTCTTATATATAATCGTACAATCCGCTAAAAGCAATTCGGCTCTAAGGAGCAGTAAAATATCAACAAATTTGTTTTAAACCCCATTTAAAAGCAAACAAATTATTGACTTAGGAAAATCGCAAGAAGTATTATACCATAGAAATATTTTATTATATTTTTGAGTAACACACTAGGTATTTTTTATGCTAATATGTGTTCCGTCTTTTTCAGGTATTAGGACCAAAGTTAATGGAAAATAGAAAACCTTTGCAGTTAAAATGGGTTTTAGTACTATATAATTTTATACAAGTTATATTCAGTATGTGGATTTGGTATGAGGTAAGATTTTAGATTTTTATTTAAGTTATATACTGTGTCCCAAAATAATGGAACAAAATTCATATTTTTTCCAGCTGAAATATAAAAAAAATGCTGAAACAGGTCAATTAGTAATAATAGAAATTGTCACTTTTCTGCAATATTTTCTATTTTTTTGAGCCATGTTTGACAGATCTATAACATTGTCGACATTTTTTTTAAAGACGAATGCAGCGGTATAAGCTTATGCCTACTTTTTCGTCATAGAAAACAATAATTTAGTGTTACTTTTTATTTTATTACAGCAAATGTTCAAAATGGCCTCCATTAACTATTGCACAATGCCCAATTCGGTGTTCAAAGTTATCAATTATGTTTTGAATAATATTTGATGTTATGTTTCGAACTTCTTCTGTGATACGAGTTTCAATCCTTCGATTGTGTCTGGTTCACATACACTTTGCTTTTTAGATAACCCCACAAAAAAAATCTAGTGAGATTAAGTCAGGGGAGCATGGTGGCCATTCAAGCGGACCTTTTCCACCCATCCATCGGTTTGGGAAAACTTCATTAAGGTAATTTCTTACATCTAGGCGAAAATGTGGAGGGGCACCATCTTGTTGGACCCAGACATCACCAGCAGCATTAAGGTTAGGAAAAATTAATTCTATGGCTGGAATCGGCTGAAAATGCAAACAATCCAAATAAATGTTGCCTGTCAAATTGCCCTCAAAGAAATAATGTCTGAGTATGCGATTTCCTACTATTTCAGCCCAACATTCACTTGTTGCCGTTGTGTATGTTTTTCTTGCATCCAATGCGGATTTTCAAAACCTAGTATTTTCCGCTTCACAGTTCCGTTTAAGCAAAAAGTTGCTTCGTCAGTGAAAATTATGTGATTTTTTAAGTTGGGTTGTCTTTCAAATAAATTTCTAGTTTCATCGCAAAACTGTGATCTTCTGTCTGAGTCATCTGCCCATAGTTCTTGTAAGACGTTAACTTTGTAAGGATGTCACTTGTGAGACTTCAGAGTTCTGTGAATTGAGGACTTCGACAAGTTGAAGTTGGCTGAGTGAGGATTTTCAGTAACGGCTAACATCACATTTTGATGGTCAATTTCGCTTACTGTTCCTGGCCTTCCTGATCCAGGTAAATCTTTTAAACTTCCGGTTTCTTCAAACTTTTTGGATACTTTACTTATTGTAGCTCGACAAATTCTCTGGTCTGGATACTTATGGTGAAATTAGTCACATACCTCCTGTTGACTACGGATATTATCTCCGCATCCAATCATAATTAAAATTTCAATTATCTGTTTTTCGCTTAAAAGAGCAAGCATTTAAAAAAAATTAACAATGAATGAATTGGAACTAAATCGATTCACGTTATAGGTACCTATGGTACTCTGGTGAATTTTATGTGTTTATCGATGTGTTTTTTTTTTAGAAAGAAAAGCTTTAAAGTAAGTAGAAAAAGATTAATAAAGAGTAGGTACGTTTTTAAAGTACAGAAGAAACTATGACTGTTTGAAATAGTCGTCAGTACGATTTACAAAATACAATTTTTTACATATTTTTGACAACTATGACAAAAAAGTAGGCATATCGCTGAATTCGTCTTTCTAGAAGGGTTATCTATTTATATTATAAAATATAAAGCGTCCTATTAAAAAAAATGTCGGTAATGTTATAGGTCTGTCAAACATGGCTCAAAGAAATAGAAAATATTGCAAAAAAAGTGACAATTCCTATTTACTAATTGACCTGTTTCAGCGATTTTTTAAACTTTGAACTGGAAAAAAAAATATAAATTCTGTTCCATCATTTTGGGACACAGTGTATATTTATTTACTAGTTTGTCACCATATTTCATACGATCATACGAAATTTGTAGAAGACAATTGTTTCTTTTAGGTAGGAATGGGAGGATGGTTTACAGGTGAATATAGTTTAAGGTGTCAACCAGTAGACTATTCAAATAAACCAAGCACGATACGGGTAAGTTTGACAGTGATTATAAATTTAAGAAAATTATCAATATTTTAATTTCAGATGGTTAACGCGTCGTGGTGGTACTTTTTCTCTAAATTTACGGAGTTCATGGATACCGTAAGTATTGCTTACTCTAGGCAAGAAAACTTTTTAAACAGCAGAAGATTAATTAAAGTCTACTTTTCATCACTTGTCTAATAGCTTAGCAGATTAGTTAGCACCTGAAGTTTGAACGTTGCTGTTGCAGCACTGGCCTTGACCAGTTCTTTCAGAGGTTTACTTAACGATAGATGATTGACTTTGGAATATAATTATAATGATGTGTTTGTAACGACCTTTGATATTTACAATCGTAGTCGATGCTGAGCGCTGTCCATCATTTTAACACGATAATAATTAGTGAACTATTTTGCTGGAACTCGTATTTTTACCTAATCATCGTTCGAGAGAAAATTTATATTATCATTTATAACTATCCGTGAAACATTAGATCCATACTGTTGATAATTATTATAATTTACTTAAATCAGTTTTATCTTTAACATTCTAATCTAATGGATATAAATCTGTGACTTATTTAGGCATCGTTTGTTTACAATCAATTAAAATGTTCTTTTCAGGAGTCTTGATCTATACAAGCATATTTTTGAAGCCTATGTTAACTTAACTATTGTGAAATTGTTCCTTCAGTTATTTTATGATCAAATAGTCTTAACGAAACAATAGTCTAAAGCCACTAGTTTTCGAGATACAGGATATCGCAGTTAGAAAAAAATCAATTATTTAAATAACTTTGACGTTGACGTAGATTGATGAAACTTAGGTTATGATTTAGCTACTTAAAGTAAAAATTCACTTGATTAGCCACTGGCGAAAAGACTGGAAAAAACTGCCCTAAGAATTAAAGAATTTCGACGTCACTGAATATGCAAATTGAAAATTGAATAGGGGTATTTGATTACGAGTTTTTGTTAATTTTAAAATGTACTTACATCAGAATAAATTAAAAGGTATTTAAAATTATTCTCACTCACTCACTCACTCACTCACTCACTCACTCACTCACTCACTCACTCACTCACTCACTCACTCACTCACTCACTCACTCACTCACTCACTCACTCACTCACTCACTCACTCTCTCACTCTCTCACTCTCTCACTCACTCACTCACTCACTCACTCACTCACTCACTCACTCACTCACTCACTCACAAATTGTTTGTGAGTTATAATGGGGGTTCCCAAACTTCACGCACGATTTGAATTTTGCGCTATTTGTGCGGTAAAGTGTTGCCAACTAAAAAAAAGACAGCGTGAAAGTTTAGGATTATTGAAAGTTCTACACGAAAGAAGAACGCGTCTTCATTCTTGAGCAACATTTTAAAAATAATTAAGTTAATGAAAATATTGTCAGACTAGTGATTTAACTTCATCAACTGTGAAGGGATTAATTGAAAAATTCGGGGAGACCGGATGAATTAGTAATCTTAAAAACTCCGGCCTTCCTTCAACAAGTTGTTCAACACAAAATATTGAAGCAGTTTGAGAGAGTGTTGCTGAGAATCCATGAATATCAATTCAGCACCGTGGTTAAGAATTAGACATTTCTAGAAGCTCTCTATAGTGTATTCTCACGAAAGATTTGATCTTCATATTTACAAAGTTCAACTGACTCACGAACTGAAGCCTATTGACCACGTAGAGCGAAGAGAGTTCGTTGAATGTATTATGGAGCAACAAGTGGATGCAGATTTTTGGAACAAAATCACCTTCAGTGTTGAGGGTTATTTACATATTGATGGCTTTGTTAATGGACAAAATTGTCGCATTTGGGGTTTGAAAATCAACAACATGCCACTCTTTGGTGCGGATTTTAGGATGTAGGCATCATCGAACCATTTTTCTTTGATCGCGACATGATAATCCAGTTTGCAGTGCCTAAACTGCAAGATATGGATGTAGACGGCATGTGGTTTCAACAAGACGATGCCGCATGCCATACAGCTCGAGAAACAATTCAATTACTGTATGAGTCATTTCCTGGTCGTGTAATTTAGAATTTTTGGTAAAAAAACTATGTTTTCTATCAAACTTACTTCTTGTATGAATTTTGGGATACCTCCTCACTAATATTCAGAAAATAAAAAAATTACATTTTTATTTTTTGAAATTTTGGGGCTATTTGGAAATATATTTCGAAAAATAAATTTCTAAACATTTGTTTTGTGAAATGAATAGTTCTAGAGTTATTTTATTTTAGATTTGTTTAATTCTGTGAAATGTCTATTAATTGAAATGAAACAAAATGACTTATTTTTCGAATTTGGATCCATAGATACAACAGAAATTACATGCCCTGAGCAAATGTGACATATTTTTTTTAACTTTAAATCTATTTGAATAAACGTGATATATACATTTTTTTAAATTTCAGCACCCTGTAGACACTTCTAAAACTAGTTGCATTGGACTATTTTCATTAAAATATTTTAGGTTAAAATGTTCCTAGGAACACTGAGGTTGAACTTAAAGAACAAATATACAAATATTTTATCTTTCCAGGTATTTTTTGTTCTACGAAAGAAAAATGATCATATAAGTACTCTTCACGTTATTCATCATGGTTTAATGCCCATGTCTGTTTGGTTTGGCGTTAAATATACACCAGGTGAGACATATGATTACGAACTTTTCAAAAAAATTATCTTACAATACGTAGTTTCTCTTTAGAATAATGTAACGCTATTCTGAAATTCTTGTAATCCTTGTTTTAGGTGGCCACAGTACATTTTTTGGTTTCTTAAACAGTTTCGTTCACATCATCATGTACTTCTACTATATGTTAAGTGCTATGGGTCCTCAGGTGCACAAATATTTGTGGTGGAAAAAGTATCTTACTACTCTACAGATGGTAAGTAGGTGTATTTAAGATTGAGTTGAGTGAACGGTTTAGTCGAATGGTTAGATTTTGAATTGCGACTTCGATGGTTGGGCCCGGGTTACTTAGACCAGCCTAAATCAACTCAGTCACAAGCAAAAATTAATTGAAGAATTTGCTAAACATTTCATGCAAGGCCCACTCAACGTTAAGAAAAGTAAGGAATTCAGTTGAAGGAATGCTATAAATGTTTAATTTATTGAAATGTGCGATGAATTTTGTTTAAAAATGTTAACTGTTTTTGCATCAGTTATTGAACCTTTGTGTAAAAAGAACAAGATACGTGACAGGACTTCAATACTTCGGCATTATTCAAAGGAAGGGAGCGGTAAAAAGGTGAAATTAATAATCATGTATACAGGCCGTTTGTTGACACTACATTGATTTAAATATCTTACCCAGTAAGTACTTCGTTTCCATTTTAGACTAAATTTCCCTTTTAATATCCAGAATTTGGAGAGAATACATATACAGGTGTGTATGCCAATGGCGACAGAATTTATATTTTTAAAAATAAGCAATATTTTAGAAGATTTTTGCTCTTACAAAATTTCGATATCGTTTATGGATTTCGAGTAAAATTCGCATTTTTATACATTAAATATAGGCAAAAATTCCGATTTATAAAAAATAATTTATAACTGCAGCCTCAAAGAAGGGAATAATAATGAAAAACGTCACATTAAAAAAAATAACTACACATTTTTGGTATTAGTATTATCAATCAATAAAATAAAAATCAACACTAATATTTTAAATAAACAATATCAACTAATAATGTAAGAAAGTCAACATTAACATTTTAAATAAACTGATATTTGTAATCACATTAAAATAATATTACAGTAAATGCTCAAAGTTACTTTCTTGTTCTTAAACGCAAACATTAGTTCTTCGAAAATTAGAAATTATCCAATAATTGTGCATTACCTCTCATAACATTAATTTCATGTTGTATTCTTTCCCATATTCGTTTTCTGTATTTACTGAAAAGTTATTTTAAACTGTGGTCCTCAACGCTCCCCTAATGAAATAATTACATGGGTTTAGGTCCGGGGATCGAGGTGGTCATTTTAAAGGGGCATTATTTCTTCTACCTATCCACCTGTTAGACCTTTAATAACCTGTAATACCTGTACCCTGTAATACCTGTAACCTGTAATAACTGGTCTTTTAATATTCTATTAAAGGAACTTTTTGAAAGGCGTTTAGCGGCAGGCTAAACGCCTTTTATTTACTTGAGGAATTTCTTCGACCCTTTCCAAAATTTGTTCCTCCAGTTGAATAATTCCGGCCGTACATTATCCACGATTTAATGTTACAGGTAAAAAACGTCCTGTTTCTCGAAGGCGTCTCTCCGCATTAGCAAATGTTTTGTGATTTGGAGTTCTTCGATTATGAAATCTTTCAGCATATGTTCGAACAGTATCACAACAATTTGCTTAACAATAACCCAAAACTACTAACATATCGGTTTGTTCAGCAAAAGTATAAATTGCAATAAAAAACAAAGTAAGCTAAAATTAAATCACAGCTAGCTTGAGGTTCTGTACCTTTTAATTATTGTTATGAATTTGTTTCCCTGTTATATGGCACCTCGTACTAGAATGTTCTGTTTATCTTAAACTGATTTTATATTATTTCATATGTAAAAAATGGTAATTTTACTGGAAATCCATAAACGATATCAAAATTTTGTAAGAGGCAAAAAATCTTCTAAATTAGTGCTTATTTTTAAAAAATATAAATTCTGTCGTCAATGGCGTACATACAAAAAAGTTACGGGATAGCCAGTGGCGCACAGGCACTAGAAAGAGAACATCCTGTATATGTATTCTCACCAAATTCTATATTTACATTGCCCTTATATAAAAAAATATGTGTACCAAATTTGAAGTTTCTAAGAAAAACAGTTTTCAAATTATTTGAAGAAAACTAGGTTATCTGTTCTATATTTAGAAGGCTATATCTTGGTAGGCGTGCACTTTTGCATATAGGTAAGTTAGGCTAAATAGTCTTGTTTTCATCTAAGGAACCTGTGGTCAAGCGTTGTCCATCCTTTTTAGGGACACCCTGTATATTCAATAAAGTCAGATTCTTGAAAATGGAGTCGTTCGTGTTAAAAATCTCTTGAATGAAAAAACCATGTACGAGCATGCTGTACTCACAATTACATTCTCTCCTTAAACGGTAAAATTGTTTCTACTTGACACCCTATTTTCTTTTACAAATCTTAATTTACACAAACTGTGCACAAAATAAGTTCCAAGACTTTTCAATTAAACAATAGTCCGACATTAAAACAACTCTTACTGCTTAACAATTGATTTCCAAGGCACTAGTGTCAATTCAAAAACGTCACGAATTTATACATCATCCCAATGTATACTATGTATACTAAAACGTGAACCCGAGAGTGAAGTTTGATGCAATGTTCAATTTTTTTTTGTTTCGCTATTGATAAAACAATCTATACAGAAAAAATCTAATACTTTTAATATAAGAATATACGTCAATACCTATTTTAGTGAAAAAATTTATTTTTATTTATTTATTTATTTTAAAAATTTGTATTTATGTCATTAATCCAGAACTATTACAAATATAAACATTTTATAAGAGCGAGAATTTTTAACGAACTCTTGATATTTCAGACAAACAGAATTATGAGCAATTTTATTATTTTCCACAATTCTGTTTGCTGCGTTTTAAAGTGACACCTATACGGACTAACTGTACTAAACTGCAACAAAATCTCAAAAGGCATTTCAAAGTTATTTGAAAAAGAAACATTTTTTTTTTGTCAACTTTGATTCCCTTTACCGACTTAGGATAGAGGTAAATTTAGTTAAACTTATTTTGTAGCAGCAGAAAACTATGATAGCTCCATGTACACGGAATATTGGGACACCCTGTGCATGCAGTGATTTATTTGCGTATATGTATATGTACTCAGATTGAGTAAAAGTTTTCAACTAAGTAAAATTTCTTCACTTAAATAAATAAATCTTGACTTTTACTTAATTTACTTAATTCAAGGTAACATGTTTAAAGAGATATATCAAATAACATTGTATCCTTGATTTAGAACAGCTTTTTCTATATGGCAAAATAACTAAATATTTATTTTATGTAGTGGCATAATATATATTTTTTACTGTTTAGAGGTAGAGGTTTACAAATATTAGGACAACGTTTCTAACGGTATTGTTTCTTTTGTAGAAACTTCTGATGTTTCTAATAAATAATACTTGTATTATTGTATTATTATGTATGTATTAGAATCAATTTCATTGATTTTATTAAGTAGTGTTAACTATAATTATTTGAGTTACAAGAGTTACAACAATTTTTCTGATTTATGACTTAAATACTGAAAAATATAATCAATATGTCAGGTTAAAGTCTTTTGTCGGAGATGATTTATTTGTAGTTTAATCGTAGATTTTATGTTCATTTAGGTATTTTGCCGCTTGGGAAGATAACTTAAAAATGTTTTTCAAGTTAATTAAATCGACCCCTGTACCAAAGTAAAAAGATATAACGATTGTTTTAATTCGATTATTACCACTTAACCAAAAATTTTATGTTAAAAACAAACATAAAAAACATCATTATATCATGTTGCTTTAAGTTCAATCAATTCAAATCAATATGTTAGCGTTCTCAGAACCAAAGTTGTTTAAATAAGGTATTTTTCATTTGCTTCCTTCATTTTCAATGATAAGCCAAAATCTAATTTTTTAATATTTTCTATTTCTATCAGTTTTGCAAGTATAAATATTTGCTTAAAATATTTTTTTATAAAAATATTTTTCCTGCAGCAAAAGTTACTAGAGAAAGGAGCATTATTCGAATTTCATTTATTATTGACAGTATACTGAATACTGCGCAGTCGTCTTGACGCCTCAAGTACTTCCTTGTAGATTTAACAAGTATACGCTTATAAAATCTAAATTTACCTTGAATAATTTAAATAAAAAAACAAAATTAACTTACTCAATGTGCAGTTGTAACATGTAAGAAGAAAGATATATAATAATACCTCATACCTCATTTTAAAATATTATTTTTATTAACAATTTAGTCTAAAGAAATAATAAATTAGAAGTAAATAATTACAACAAAAAAAATCAATCAATAAATCCACATAAATTAATAATTCAAAAGTGGGATAAAATTTTTAAGCTAGAAATATGTATACCTAATAAGAAAACCTATTTTCAACATGTGTGTAAATAAGTTTCTTAAAGAACTGATCAGGATCACAATTGGTGCATATAAAATAGTAATTATGTGTTTGCTGCCTCTTGAATCAATTGATTCTACTTATTTCTGTTGCTACTGTTGATAATAATCTGCAGTACATAAATGTTTACTAGTAATTCCAAAGGTAAATTCCAATTATTGTATGTACAATCCACATCATCAAACGCTATCTTGTTTAATCTAACTCATTTGAAGAAAAAACAAATAAAATCAAAACAAATGATATAAGTATACGCAGATTCTACACTTATATAGGTGGTATGTGATTAAGAGTTATTGGTCTGATATATATGAAACGTTACTACATAATTCAATGATATTATTTCCCGCAGAGTAGTTGTTTGCTACAATATTAAGAAATTAAATTATTTCGCCTAGTGCGATACTAGTCATAGTTCCTATGTATTAGTAGGTCGCTGTCTGCCAGTAAATATAATGCAATATTTGTGTCAGTACGCATTGACTGGTTTTTTTATTTATTGAATATTTTACCATCCCTTAGTTTTTCATAACGAAAATATGACACTGAAAAAAAAATACAAATAGAGAATACAATCTTCCACTGTTCAATAAAATAATAGCGGTCTCTTTTAATTTTATTTTAACTGCATTATTTTCCTTCTCCAAAATTTTCCTTCTCCTTAATTTTCATGTTGATAAGCTTCACCAGCCGTTTTTCATTTCATTTGAGAAAAAGTCTGAGAACCATTTACTTTTTCCCTTTTGTTTTCCATTTTACTTATGTAAAATAATGTAATAAAGACACTATTAAAGCAGCAATAACCAAATTGACCCTTTGATAATAATTCAACGCTTTAATTGTATCTCATAAAACCTAAAAAGCAGCCAGAACTCTGCATTCAGTAGGTTTCTCCTTGGACATAGCCCTGGAAACGAGTCTACGCATCATACTAGTGGCGTTTTATTTTGGGTATTCATAGACTCGATCAACCCTGGCAATCCTTCAGTTTCGTGAACACCCAAAATCCTAATCCACAGACACTGTACATACTACGATTCACTCACTCAGGTGAGTCCTGGTCATACGAAGACAAAGTCAGTATTGTAACCATGCAGATTTTGATGGATACTAAAAATCCCCTTAAGTGCCCATATTCCGCTACAGCTGTACATTTATCTTCACATGCGGCTCCGTAAAGGCTTCTGTTTACAATCTTGTATACTGATATCTCTGGAAGCAGTGAATGATTCGAGAAACTCGACTCGGTTTCAAACATTTCACCCAAAGGCTTTAGTAAATTAAGTTTTTAGTTATTCTCGGACGATCTATGTCATCCCTATTTTCCTTTAATATGTATATTAGTTTTTAACAGCCACAGTAATTATTGCAAAACAATAACTGAAAATCATATTATTGGTTTATTGCAACTTTTAGACCAAAGACACCCACAAAATGTGTAGTTTTTGCAGAATTTAGACCTTTGCGGAAGTTGTTCTTATAAATTGTAGTCGTGTGACTCGGAATAAAAGAAAATATTGACTAATCAAAAAGTATTATGTATGTTCTTTTTGACACGAGGTGTATGTCCCCACTGCTCGCTCTGATATAACATACTGCGGTCTTCGTGTTCTCCCATTCCATGGTCTTGATGTTTCACCAACTGTGACATTTGCTTTTCTTTGATATTTGACTGATTATTTTGATTAGATTGTCGAGAAACAGAAATTTTCGAAGCGGCAACTTCTGCTGTGTTATTGGCGCAAAGACTGATTTATTTAAAATTCGTTTATTTTTTTAGTGTGGTAAACATACTCAGTTAGATAGAAAAATAATTAAAAATAACACAAATAAATTATAGACAATATCACAATTAATTAAAAATTTTATTTTAGGCACAATTTGTGGCTATCATGGTCCACGCTTTCCAACTGCTATTCATCGACTGCAACTACCCCCGTGCCTTCGTATGGTGGATCGGAATGCACGCTGTGATGTTCTTCTTCCTCTTCAAAGAATTCTATAATCAGACTTACAGTAAGAGGAAGGCAGCACCTAAGCTAAAAGTGGAAGGGCAGCAAGAACCAATTCAAAATGGTTTTGTTAAAAGTAATCACATCCAAAATGGAGACATTCGGAAGAACGGAGAATATAAAAACGGAGAGGTTTATCAAAATGGCGCCGCCAAAGCCACAAACGTGAACGATTACTACGTGAACGGGTCGACGACGGATGTACATCACAGGATAAAGTCCAAGTGATTTTTGTTATTTCTTAGTACATGATTCCAGTCATAATAGTTAAGAGACTACTTAATTTAAAGTGATAATAGAGGAGATGGTCGATAACCATATATAGTTTTTATCTGAAGAAACAAGGATTATACAAAATTTTGATGAAGGATTTTGGTTCAATGATTAACTGTATTTGTGCGCAGAAGATCGAGGAGTCAAATACGATTTTTCTTCATTCTAATCTCATAAATGTTACGTTGTTAATTAGTACCAACATCCTTTAAATTGAATAAATACGTTTTGCGTCACTTGGAAGAAAGTTAAACTTTTATGGCATCATACGATTACAAAATTTTTTTATGTTATTGCAATTTTTCTATTTTTTTTCAAATTCGGTAATATTGCATTTTCAAATATTGGAATGAAATCTGAAATTAAAAATTTATTCAATTCCGTCCTTTCTAATGAACTGTATATTTTTTACCATTTCCAAGATACACACTAATAATTACTGTGAAATAAAATAAATCATATGCGAAATAGTCCAATTAACTAAGCCTTTAAATCGAAATTTTGTCAACTTGGCTGAATTTTTGATATGAGTTAGTTTAAGGTATATTATAACAATAAGTGAGAGTAATTTTTTGTTCAACCCCCGGCCAAGGGTGGAAAAAGATAAAACAAAGCGCTTTTTCAAGATAACTCAAAAAGGGTAAGAGCTAGAAAAAAAAGTTTTCATGAAAGTTGTAAAGCAGACAATTCTACATAAAAATGGCCTCTTAACTTTTTCTTGTACTATTAAAATTAACAGAGTTAGGGAGGCTAGAAGTTAAGGGAAGATTTCAGAAATTTAAAAAAAATCATAACAAACAGAAAAATGAATGAATTTAGTAATTTTTTTTTTCAATCTGCTCTAAAAAATGTAACTTTTCTTTTCAGAGAAATAGATATATTTTTTAATTTTTAATAAGAAAATTATCACAAAAAATCAAATTTTTAATCGTTAATTTTAATGATTTAACAAAATTTTAATTTCTGAAATCTTCCCTTAACTTCTAGCCTCCCTAACTCTGTTAATTTTAATAGTACAACAAAAAGTTAAGAGGCCATTTTTATGTAGAATTGTCTGCTTTACAACTTTCATGAAAAACTTTTTTTTCTAGCTCTTCCCCTTTTTGAGTTATCTTTAAAAAGCCTTTTGTTTTATCTTTTTCCACCCTTGGCCGGGGGTTGAACAAAAAATTACTCTCACTTATTGTTATAATATACCTTAAAGTAACTCATATCAAAAATTCGGCCAAGTTGACAAAATTTCGATTTAAAGGCTTAGTTAATTGGACTAAAAGTAATGCAAATGCAGTAAGAACATTTTTCTTACTACGATCCGGATCGTCTAGCGTTTAAAAAAATTTGTTCATTATCAGTGGTCGTATTGGAAATGTATTGTAATAAATGTTCCGTTCCTTTTGTTAGGTAGGTATGTTTACTTCAGGTAAAACACTCTATGTAATTGCTCAATTTTTATAGCACTTAAATTTGTTACCTACAATAATATAATAGTCAGGTGCAGCTTTAGTGGATTAATTAAAATTTCTAATAATTTTTCTCTTCTTAATTCCATGAGCAGCATGTTACATGTCATGTGCCATTTTAATAAACAATATACTTATACTTACACAATTTTATGATTTGTTTTGATCTTGGTGCAAGATTTTTGTTATTGTTGTCCTTTTAAGATTTTAATTTAATACACTACTTGTGTTGGCGCAGTAACTTATGAGGTGATTTTATTTGTTTTAATTTTTTATTAACTATGTTTTTTTTAATTTTGCGGGCATTATAACCAAAGAGACAAATTTTAAAAGTATAAATTTAATTTATGAAAAAGGATAGTAATTGCAACTAAAATTGTATTTATTTTCTCAACAATTAGAATAAAATTATAAAATTTATTTCATGTTTTTTGTAATACGTTTTGTAACTTAATTTTTAGAAAGCAATGATTATTTTTTTATTAGATTAAAGTTAAATCAAATCTGTTATTTAGAAATTTATTCAGTATGTAATATGAAATATAATAATAGTTACAATAATCAAGTTAAAAGTTTGTAAATAATCACCCCATCCAAAGAAAGCATTATACAGACAAAAGTAGAAATTATTATCTTTAATTTTAAATATATAATGGATTAGAAATTTCCAGATAAGTTATGAGGAGTACAGAAAAAATATTCTTGACAGGAATAAACAAATTATTTATTATATGTTGGAATACTAAACTGGTGTCAGCAGTCATTGTCTTATGCAAATTGTAGATTACTATTTTGTTGATATTTCCATTTTTTTTGTACATTTTTGTAATTAAGTTATACTAGTATGAAGTGGGTAGCATTAAGCCTTTATAGATTGTTGAATTATTAAATTATACATTTACTTTTATTTATAGAGGTTGTCTGTTATTAGTATTTTTATACTTGCTATTGAAATTAAAATAATAAAATGTATATAATATGAGTAGTTGTTTTATTGAAACTGTCTATTGTGTTTTTTCTCTTCATTAATGTTTTATTTAAATACATTATAAATAAATTAATTAGTAATTACTATCAAACACTTTGTGAAGCAAATTTTCTTCTAATATGGCAGTATCTTTACCTTTAACAAAAAATAGACACTGTTAATTTTTCTGTGTGAAATACATTTGACTACGAAAGGAACTATAGTTCCTTTCTGGGAAATTTGTATATTTCAAGGCAACGTGGGCCATGTGAATTATCAAATATTCTACTACAAATCCAGTTTAAAAAAACTGTTTGGAGCTAAAATGTATTTTCTTTAATAATAATTGGTCCTATAGAGCTTTAGTGGCATTAATAAATTGTTAGATAAGCAGTGCGCCGGGTGAAGAAGGGGGTTTGCTTAGGCCTCTAGAGAGTCTGGATACTTCTAACTCCACACCAAACTAACAGTTTTATGATTTTAACAGATTTACTATGTAAAATAAAAGAACAAATTTTTCAGGGACAAGACTAATTTTCATGAAGCTCATAGGTAGCGTTAGTTACACATTATGACTGGTAAACTAGGGAATAGTTTTATTTCATCGGTGATTCTCTATCTCTAAGAACCCCTGAAATTCGAAATTACTGGATATTCGGGAAAATCGATCACAGCTTTTAATTGCTAGTAGTGTTTCTGAGAGAAAACTTATAAAGTACTTTAGTTGAATGTAGAATAATTCTAAAGCTTCTTTTCCACAAAGGAAATTTATAGAATTTATTTTTTAAATTATAGAAGCAATCTTAAATAAAGGGTATTAAAGAAAACTTCGAGAAAATCATATATGTATTTTATTAGAGTTAACAGAGAACAGAGCCTAGCCTCGAACAAACGCAAAATTTCTACAAGAATTATTTCTAGAAATGTTGTTTTAAATTCGAAATTAATTTATGTTAAAATAAATAATTTGCAGCATACCTTGTGAATGTCATAAACATTTATTGGGGTAATAGGCAAAAACAAACAAATTAAAACTGTCAAAAATAATAAATAAAAACGAAAAGCCATTATTAGTTCAGAAAATTATAAGTAGCGTTTATTAACACCCAAACAAATTAAATATATCAAACAAAATTTTCGCATTAAATAAGAGGCTAATAGGACATTAAACGTTGAAGGTATTATGGGTGTTACAGGATAATATTGGTATAACACTGTCTCCATAATAGTTTTTTATATTTTTTATTTTTTTACACGATATTTTCATTTCTTATCGTAAAATGTATTAATAATAATAAGTTTATTTCCATAAAAGCTGAACATAATATTATAACATAATAGCATATAAAATAGAAATAGAAACTTAATATACACTCACTAAAGGCATAGCCTGTGCGCGAGGAAAGAAGATACATATACAGAGTAAGATATAAAATTACAAAAATGTTAAAAAAAAATTCAACAGTATCAACTACAAACAATCTTTAACATTTCAGTAAGCAGCTTTAAAATCAACATCGCAGGAATGTGTGTGGAATGCGTGACTGTCCTGTTTGAGTATTTGATTAAAATTTAATTTCAGGTCCACAGCGTTATGGATCTCCACTCTCGGTATATCAGAAATAAAGTGTTTTAATTTCCTTTTGAAAGTCATTACATTACTCAGCGACCTTAGTTCATCAGGCAAAACCGAGTATAGCTTCGGTCCAAGATAAGTGTGGCTTTTTTGTCCTACACATTTATTAGGTTTAAATGTAATAAAATTTTTATTTTTGTTTCTCGTTTCATAAATGTGTGTCCCTACTCTTAAATCATGTCTGTTCTTATGTTGATATATGCACAATAAATAGAAGAGAAGCTGTCTTGGATCCATCAGAGAAGTCTCGGCATATAGATCATCCGAAGAGAAGGTAGGTTTCTTTCTATATATTATTTTTATAATTCTTTTTTGGACCACTTCCAAATTTTTTAAAAGACAATGATTTGCAGTTCCCCATGCCAGAATTCCATATATTAGATGACTCTGAACTAGCGAGGTGTATACCACCTTCAACATGTCACCATCAAGTATGTCCCTTAAGACCTTAAACCGGTGGAATAAGGATCGAATTTTTTTGATGACGTATTTGATATGCTTATCCCATTTCAGATTACTATCCAGCATGACACCAAGATACTTGAATTCAGGGACGGACTGAATAGTGATGTCTCTAATTGTCAGAGTCTTAAAGGTAGGAGTAGATCGAACGTCCACATATATAGGCAAAAAACGTGTTTTGTCGTAATTTACTGAAAGCAACCTTGAATTGAACCATTCAAATACCATAGCTAAATCTTTTTCAGCAATCTGTTTAACAGTTTGCCAGTCTTTATCATTGTAGAAGATGCAAGTATCATCAGCATATGCTATGATTTCTCCTGATGTTCTGAACAGAAAATAAGTTGTTTAAATAGATGTTAACAAGACTGGGCCAAGAACTGAACCTTGTGGTACTCCATAGGACATCTTAATTATCTCACTATACTCATTATTTATTCTAACAAGCTGATGTCGATTTCTTAGGTAGCTTTTAAAAAGTTCAAGCGCGAGACACCTTATTCCTATTTCTTCCATAGTGTTCAACAGCAGACTATGGCTCACTGTGTCAAACGCCTTAGATAGATCTATGAAGACACCGAGTGATCTCATATTATTATCTAACGCTGTGTATGCTTTGGATGTTAAGTGGAGTATGGCGTCTTGCGTTGAGACTCCTGTTTTAAAGCCATACTGCCTATAAGATAGAATTGAATGTTTATCGAGATAAGTGTATAGTCTTTGTTTCAATAGTTTTTCTAATATTTTGGAGATTGTAGTAATTAATGAGATTGGACGATAATTAATTACCTCAGCTGGGTCTCCAGATTTAAATATAGGTATGA